ACATTCATATGCAAACACCCAAAACATGTTAGAGGTCAAATCGATTTTAATGTTTAAAGTTAAACTTTTTTCAGTTTGTTGTTCGTTCCCAGAACGTTCTATGTTGTTTAGTCAGTAAAGTTTTCTTTTTGTAGAACATTCTCTTTAAGTTGTTACAAAAACCTCCCATCATTGAAGTTGAAAACTGAAGTAATGAAATGGAATTCTATTTGGCAATATATTAAAATATAAACCGTTTCAGTCTTCAGTCTTTTCAACCAGTATTTTTTCTCAAATATTTGTAATATAGACAAAATACTATTGTCAAAACCTCTTGTGTAGTATTTGTTTTTTTACTATTTAACATTGGATAGTGGGAGAATAGTGATCTATTTCAAACTAAATAAACAACATATTTCTTAGTTTATGCAAATTGTTTAGTTCTGGGTGTAAATATGTTATGGAAGATCTCCAAAAAATAAAACAAACCCTTAAAATTACACAAAATAAAAGATGCACTTTTGGGTGGCTCAGTGGTTAGCACTGTCGCCTCACAGCAAGAAGGTTGCTGGTTTGAGTGCCAGCTGGGTCAGTTGGCATTTCTGTTTGGAGTTTGCATGTTCTCCCCATGTTCACGTGGGTTTCCTCTGGGTGCTCCTGTTTCCCCCACAGTTCAAAGACATGCGGTATAGGTGAACTAAAGAAACTAAATTGGCTGTATTGTATGTGTGTGAATAAATGTTTATGGGTGTTTCCCAGTACTGGGTTCCAGCTGAAAGAACATCCACTATGTAAAAAATATACTGGATAAGTTGGTGGTTCATTCTGCTGTGTTGACCCTTGATAAAGGGACTAAGCCGATGGAAAATGAATGAATGAATGAATGAATGAAAAGTGGCACCTAAAAAAAATCACCTTCAGAAACATTTGAACAGCAGCATATATCACAAAGAGCTTGTTTTACAAGTTGACTATTTTATCCTCTGTTCATCTAAAGGTGTCTTCCTACCAAACGGAGGTCGAAGTTCCCGTAGGAGACGAGCTGTGTTAACAGAAGAGGGAGAGGTTTCCGAATGTGAGAGCACCAGCTCATCTTCATCTTCAACATCTGCATTTTCATCCTCTTCTGCAACCTCCTCCTCTTCATCCGAAAGCGACGACAGCAGTGCAGAGGTGAGCGGCTTCGCAGATGGCGGCGATCACGACTACAGCAAGGCTCCGCAACATAAACAGAAAGGCAAAGCTCCAGCACCACCACCACCACCTTCACCTCCACCACCAGCTCCCACGATTGACAACCCAAAGAGAAAGAGGAAAGGAGAAGAAGAGCAGTCTGCAGAACCTGAGAAACGACCACGGCGGACGAGCAGCAGAGAGGAGGAGGAGGAGGAGGAGGAAGAGGAGGTAGATGATGAGCCTGAAGAAGAGGAAGAACCAGATGAAGAAGAGGAACCTGAGGAGGAAGAGGAGGAGTCAGATGATGAAAATGTCATTTCACCATCAAAAAGGTCAAATCAAAGAACTCCAAAGTCCGGACGGGTCAATACTCGTAACCAAGGGCGTAGAACTGTTCTGTACAACGATGACTCTGAAGAGGAGGGTCCCACCTCGGACCCGCTGAATCTGGGAATGTCCCGTTCCGGAAGAGTTCGTCGCATGACTGAACGTGCAAGGGTCAGCCATCTAATGGGCTGGACACATTGATGATCCTTACACAGACTCACTACTGCAGGGATTTTGTTTTTAGTGCTGTCCTTGTTTGTTTTACGTCCCCAGACTTGACGTTCATGACTCTTCCTGGACTGTGGTGCTTTCTCTTCTCTGTGGTTTGCTAGAATCTACCACACCATCATCTAATCATCCACCTCTGCCTTATTCAGGTCCAGAGCGGCGAAGATTCAGTCGTTTTTCCCATCTTCTGTGTTTCAGTTTCTCTCACTCCGAGGAGTCTATCCTGTCAGAAAGATGGTGCTGCTGTTCTCCCACTTCCATCTTGCATTCTTTTCATACCTTTTTTTTTAAACTAGCGATCATCGAGAACACTTAAGTTTACCGTGTAATTCAGCTGACTTGACTTCACTGTTAAATCAGGTTATGCATTTACCTCTGTTCAAAAATGAAATCAATCTAAGACGCATTAAGTACTTCCAGATCACTCGCGCTGCACCTCCTCCATCTGAGCTCAGACGTGAGAGGAGGATTGTGGGAAACGTAGGAGAAAACGCACTTCTCCTCGCTCAAATACACTTCAGATACACTTTTTTTAACAGAATGTATTTATATTTTTCCACTCTTGTATGGTACACTCGGATTCATTCTTGGCTTTCAGTAAGGAGGACGTTCGTGTTGATGATGTTTGCACATTTTATGTCGAGTTTATGTGGCAGCTGATTGGTGGACATGAGGTGACGTCTGAATCCTCTATTCTGACTGGTTCAGATTTCCTGTAAATTGAAAACTGGTGCTTTCTGAAGAGTAACAGGCTGTTTTTTTACTGGTTTGGTGTTAATTTCCCTCTGTGCCATTTATTATGAAAACCGAAAAGACTGTTCTGGTTTGAACAGGAAACGCTCTCCGAAAGTCACCTAATGTGATCAGTGTTTTCTAGTGTGATTTCAGGATGGTGAATACAAAGCATTATGAACTGATGAGATCAAATTGAATCTTGAGTTTGATTTGTGGTGTCAAACGGTGTGTCCAGGACACATTTTAACACACTGGTACATCTCTCGTGCTCTGTTTTACTCTGTTAATCCAGTGTCTCACTTTTGGTTTTCTCTTAGTTGCACTGCTGTGAGAAGCACCCTCTTCATCAGTCTCTAAACTGATTTTCCTCCCAGTTTGAGAGCTCAGCCTGTCAGGATACAGCATTATAATCGTAAGGCTCTGTGTCACTTCGACATGATCTGACCAGACTGAGTTCATTCATTTCCTTTCCATTTTTCATGGCTTTTTTATCAGGGTTTTTCATGGTGTGACAGACGAGGCCTGGATCTGTCAGTGACTATGATGGGGAAAATGGTCATGATGATGTTAGATGTCATAAGCTTGTGTGTTCATTTTTTTCTTTTGTACACATTTTGGATTGTTTTTTATAATAAAAGATGTAAAACTGATTCTGTTCTATTAGTACTTCTGCTACTGTTATGTTCTTCTGCGCTCTCTCTCTCTCTCTGTCTGTCTGTCTGTCTGTCTGTGTGTGTGTGTGTGTGTGTGTGTGTGTGTGTGCGTGTGTGTGTGTGTGTGTGTGTGTGTGTGTGTGTTAGCATATACAGAAATTGGGCACTATATTTGGTACACCTTGCTAGTTTGTTGGGTTATTGATTCAACATGGTGCTAAAAGCATTTAAAGGTGCTGTATGTAAGTGTTTGACTCTTCTAAAGCATAGAAATAGTGTAATGTGCAGATATTTAAGAAACATGCCAAGTGAACATTCTTTTTTTTTATCTAAAGAAATAATTCTACGGTCAGATATTCTGTTTTAAAAATGTGAGTTATGTGCTGGAATGTCTGTCTTTGTTTTGTTTTTTTTAACCCACCCAATGCCAGTTTAGCCAATTATATTTTAGCAGCCCAGGTTGCCCTGGTGGAAAACCACGTATTTAATTCATTCATTCAGATAGGCTCTCAAAGTGTGTGCCCGTGACCAAATCGTGACTTCCGGTGGTCAATAGCAGCCTAAAATGAGATGCAGATTCAGTTCCACGTGAGGTTATTAATTAGCACTAATAATATAAATATTACCAGGGAAAACATTAGGTGAGCATGTAACATTTTAACCCTGTGCCCTAACAACATGCTACGCAACGAGATTTGCTGTGATAAGCAATTTGGCTATTTGCACTAGACAAAACACAACAGAAATGTAAATACAGCCCTTCAGAAGCACAGAATAGTGCATTTACTGCATTACATTGAAAGGGTAAGATTTATAAACTCATTAATACATATTAAACCTCTTTAACATTAAATATGTATGCTGATTCAGTCATATGTGTTGGTTTTTAGTCACAGTTCTGAAGTTCCATTTCAAACGGTTTATTTTATTTTCAAGATCTGAGGTAAACTATCTGCTGTTGCTTTCAGTATTATTGCAATAAATGTCATGTAAAATGGCATTTAAACTCACATTGTTTGCATTTAACACTGAATAAAGCACATGAGGTGTACCTGAGGTGATCATTGTCAGTTTTCTGTTTTTCAACTGAGTGTAACCTGTGTTGGTTGGAACAAAAACTCCCTTTAAAATGGAAAATATTCCTTCTATTAGTTGTCCTTACTTTTATTTAGAACACTGTTTAAATCAGCCTCTATTTATACAAAAGCATATATTGCATTCATAATGTGAATCTCATAGGTGCTCGACTGAATTGAGACTGTGATTGTGAAGGCCAGTTAATACAGTGACTCGCTGTCATGTTCAGTTTTGTTAATTAATGCCCAGTTGGGGTGAGAAAAAAACACATTTTCTACACCACATCTGCTTATTATTATAAATTGCTATAAAATATTACTTGGGGCAAAAACCTAGGCTCATTACAGTAATATATAAGCGATTGTTCTATTCTTATGTTTGCCCCATTTTTTCGTTATTATTACTTGAATATACATTTTATCAATTGAATCATAATTTTTCATATTAATAGGGTTAGGGTTAATTATTGAATTTATGGATTTAATATGCTCTTCTAAATGGTCTTCATGTTTTATTTTTAAATGTCTTAATTTATTTTTATCTCAATTTTATTTTCATGGTCATAATAGTTTACGGTTTTATTACATTTTTTTTATTTTTATGTACTACATTTGTATTATTTTCCACACATTTTAGCCCTCCTTTGCGGAGCCCAGCTAGAAAACCTCTATATTTTTAAGTGATATATAATTTTTTTATTTTAATACAATATTTCATGAAAAACATTTATCACAGAACGTCTCGCCCTTTTCTGTTTTGCAATGACATCACTGACCTGAGCGCATGACCGTGACATCACTCCAGTTGTTCGGAGAAGCCGGAAGTGAATACAGGAAAAATACAACAAACGGAGCGGCCACTGTTGCAGATCCACACGAAGAGCTCGGTGAAGACAAGACTGAACACTTCTTTCGTCTGATTCTCAAGTTGACCCCAGCAGCACCACCGGGCAGTCATGTCGAGCATGGAGAGTATCCTTTCAGACCGGAGGAATCGGGCCCGGGCCACATACACTTTCTCGCTGGGACCGTAAACACTTATACTGAGACTCATTGTTGAGTTAAAGTCGGTGGTGAAAATATTATAGTGTATTATATGAGATGAGGTCTAGTCAGGTTACATTCGATAGATCAAATCGCATTTCCGAATTTCTTCTGTCGTCACTGGAGGTTGTGATTGATTTAGAAAGTGGATCTGAAGACCAAGAGTCGAAACACCGAAAGCAGAAAGATAAACAAGTTCGTGAACTCCTCGTAAGATTACTCTTTATATTTAAGTTATTTTCTGTGGTTTCAAACACGTCTTTGGTTGTGTAAGTGATCTAACGTTAAAACATCACTAAATTCCGCCAGGTACGACTCTGACGTAGAATTACGTACTGTCGCCACCTATATCTTATTTAGGTGAAGTCCCAATCCAGTCAGACTAGTTTGTTCAGTTGTGAGATGGCGTATTGTGTTTATACCGTCATAGGCTTTTATTGTGAAAATGTTTTCCACGGATGAGAAGATAAAGTGTGTTTCAGATCTTTTCCTTGACTTTTGACTCCAGAGCATTTGTTCAACCTCAAGTTTGCTGCCAAAGAACTTCAGCGGAACTCCAAAAAATGCGACAAAGAAGAGAAAGCAGAGAAAGTAAAAGTCAAGAAGGTAAACAAGCAAAAACAAAACGCATAGAGCAGCAGTACAGTAGCATCTTCACCAAACAGCTGCACAGCTTTCTGAGCTGTTTTGAGTTTTTCTGTCTGTATATTTTATGTGCTTGATTGTATAAAACATTCTGAGATGTTTCACTCTCAGTATGTAAACATGCATGGTACAAATTATAGTATTGTAAAGGTCAAACTAAATTAAGAGCCAAATATTGACTTTTCAATAGCAAGATTATATTTCAAGTTTTATATTTTATATTTTTATTTTCTTAGATAATAGTGAGAATTGGGAGGAATTAAGTCAGAATAGCTCAAAAGCCTTTTAATTTATATGTAAACATGTATTGCAAGATATTGAATTTATGTAGTTTAGAAATGTTTTAGCAATTCTGATAAATGTTTGCAGAATTGTGCGCTATAAAAATCATTTCATGACAACATTTTTATTTTATGTTTAGAAGAAATACTATTGGTCATTTAAGTAAAACATAATTTTGTATTGTTCTTCAAACACTACTATAAATAATAAAATACAGAGAAACTATGGATTTTCAAGTGATCTGTGATAAATTTCTATAAATAATAATACATACAATAATCTGGTTTACTCTTGTTCAATTTCACCAGTATCACACTTAAGTACCTAAACTATATTACACTTGGGTGTTTTACGCTTCAAATTTTTTTTTTAAATATAGTAAATGTAATTACTGATCGTTAAAATTATAGTTCACCCAAAACTGAAGATTTTGTAACACTTTATTTTGATGGTCCATTTGAGTGTTAGTAGACTGTCTCGTTAATATAAGCTGATACTGCTCTTTCAACAGACTTTTAACTATAAAAAATATAAATATAAAAAACTTTGTAAGTACTTGTTAAATTGCACCAACCCTAACCTAACAGTCTACTTATAATCTAATGAGAATTAGTTGGCATGTAGATGCAACGTAACTTAAATTCAACAAACGGACCATCAAAATGTAATGACCCAAGATTCTGTCCCTCTCCAATTGACACAAACCTATTATATTTTTCTTCTGTTGAATACAAAATAAGTTATTTTGATAAATTTAAGAGACCTATAACCACTGACTTCTATAGTAGGAAAAACAAATACGATGGAAGCCAATGGTTACCTGTTTAATGGTAACATTCTTCAGAAAGATTAAACTCCTAAAGGTTTGGAATCCTTTGAGGTTGAGAAAATAATAAATAAATGTTCATTTTTGAGTGAACTATCCCTTTAATGTTAAATTGTGTTATCACGGATGTGTATCACTGACTAAGCTCTCTGCTTTTATTTTGGTACTCAGGCAATCCAAAAGGGCAACATGGAAGTTGCGCGAATACATGCAGAAAACGCCATCCGCCAGAAGAACCAATCGGTGAACTTCCTCCGAATGAGCGCAAGAGTGGATGCAGTGGCTGCACGAGTACAGACTGCAGTCACCATGAACCAAGTACACACACACACACACGCATGCTTTTCTCTTCATACTAAAATATGCTTTACTATTCATGCAGTCGGCTTAATGTTTAACTTTTGATTTTTATTCTCCAGGTCACCAAGTCTATGGCTGGGGTTGTGAAGGGCATGGATGCAACCCTGAAGAGTATGAACCTTGAGAAGGTGAGATGAAGTCCTCTAAGCCTTAACGTGTTTTCGTTGAGCAGCTCTTTCACATACAATCACTCTTTTGCTCTGATTAATATTCCTCATGTTAATCGTTAGATATCAGGGCTGATGGAGAAGTTTGAGCGTCAGTTTGAGACTCTGGATGTTCAGACGGCTCAGATGGAGGACTCGATGAGCAGCACCACAACGCTGACCACACCACAGGTGACGCATATAGATAATGCTACTCTGACTGCATGTACGCTGACCAACATACTCGTTCTTTTGCCGTTTGTGACACTTGCTGTTTTTAGGGTCAAGTTGATACTTTGATGATGGAAATGGCAGATGAAGCAGGGTAAGAACACTTTAAATGTTGAGATTCATTACTTTTATTATTAGCAGTGAGCTCTGTAATAAATACAATACATACGCCACAAAAGATTGTGATTGGTAGGATTTCAACAAGTGTCTTATACACACACCAAGGCAGCATTTATTTCATCTATATACAATGATATTATGGGGAAAAGTTTTGATATTTTTCCTATTATGCAAAATAATAATAATTTCAGCAAATTATTAACTTTTTTTTTAACTTTTTTATTTAAGATTTTATAAGCATTTTTAAGCATTAGAGATAAGTACATGCTTCCTGACAGAACATTTACGTCAATTATTATAGCATTTGATGGAACCACATTCCAAATCATTCCACCAAACGTTTTGTTTTTATGTGTCTCTTAAAATGCAAATGAGCTGCTGCTCTCCAGCAGCACATTATAAAGTGTAAATAAAAGCTTTCCAGTGCTATTTAAGATAAAAACAAACAAACAACACTTGTGTGTTTAGGCTGGATCTCAATATGGAGCTTCCTCAAGGTCAGACAGGATCAGTGGGAACCAGCGTAGCATCTGCAGAACAGGTAAAACACACACACATAAACACAGACGCACTAACACATGACAGATATACTGTAACGCATCTATCTCTCTCCCTGTAGGATGAGCTCTCTCAGAGACTGGCCAAACTCAGAGACCAGGTTTAAGGGGAAGCGGTGGTGAGTGTGTGTGTGTGTGTGTGTGTGTGTGTGTGTGAGAGAGAGGGACTGTGTATGTGCGAGTGTGAGATCAACATATCCTCTATTTACTGAACCCTGGAAACATTGGCCTCATTGTTTATTTGTGTTCAGATTTCTTTTCGTGCCGTCAAGGACGTGAAGCTTTTCAAATCCACAATAAAACACTGAAAGCTATCTGTAATGATGCGCTGAAAAAACTGAATCGGATACAAGGACTAATGTTACGCGGTAACACTGCTGTCGTCAGGATTACTCTGGGGTCCTGCTCTTCTCAAATTATTGGATTAAAGATGATCATATTGGTGTAACATTTCTTTGTTGTTTTTATTTGCGCTTATGTTTTAACTAGCAGCTTGTCTCTCGGATGTTCTGTCAGTGCTGGCTGATGAGCAGACTAAATGTTGGGTTCAGTTATGTCTTGTTTCTTCTTGCTGCTCCTCTGCTTCAAGTCGATTGTGGGATTAATGCATGTGATCAAGATGATGATTTGAATACAATGTTCATTTTGTCCAATGCTGTAAATCCCCAGTTTAACCTATATTTATACACCCCTACAGAAGCTCTGATCTTTGTTTTGTTTCCCCTAAATGTAAAACAAAAAGAAAAAAAAAGCCTTTGGCAGTGTACGGCTCAAGCAGTTGATCTTCAGACGAGAATATATAAATATGTTTGTGTATATAAATAAACATTTTGCAACACATTAAAGTGTTGGTGAATGTTTTTCCTTTCATCTGTTGGCAATATGTTGGTTTTCAGATGTGGTACAGTGATCGCGTGATTGGTCTGTTGGGCCCAGAGTTACTGTAGGGTTTGGTTTTGATTGGGCTCGAGAGCTTGAGCGGTGATGAGTTTTGATTGGTCCACTGGGTTCAGAGTTAACAGCGCCGCGCAGCTCTTACTGCTACACTGGATCTGTAGTCCAAGGAGAAATATGCTGCTCAGAAACCAAAACCAAGCATTTTTTAGTGTAATTGCCCATCGGAGTATTGCGTGATGTTTTATGCGTGCATCTGTGTGTTCTGTCATTTATTCGACAACTACAACTCAGAGTTGTGACAGTATGCAAAACGCAAATATTAAAGAAGGTAGTGATTTCCAAATTTACTTTGACTTGTGTTTCATTGCAGACAATATGAACACACAATAGTTCATGTTTTGTCTGCTCAACTTTATTTCATTTGTAAATATATCCTCTTTCCTGTCATTCCGACCTGCAACACATTCCAAAAAAGTTGGGACAGAATCGGTTTAGGGCTAGTAATCAGGTAAATTGATGGTTAAATGATGATGGTTAAACAATGTCAACAGGTGATTGCAACTTATTTGGTACAAAAGGAGCAACCAAGAAAGGTCTAGTTAGGAGCAAACATGAGCCGAGGATCACCAGTTTCCCAACCAATATGTGGGAAAAATATTAAAATATTCAAAAACAATGTTCCTTAATGAAAGATGGGAAGACATTTGGATATTTTACCTTCAACAGTGCATATCATTATTAAAAGATTCAAGGAATCTGAAGGAATTTCAGTGTATAAAGAACAAGGGGCGCAAGCCTAAGCTAAACATCTCCGATCACTCGGGCAGCACTGCATCAAGAATCATCATTTATCTATAAGCGATATCACCACATGGGCTCAGGACTACTTTGGCAAACCTATGTCAAGTACCACAATACATGGTTACATCCACAAATGCCAGTTAAACTGCACTGTGCCAAAAGGAAGCCCTATGTTCACAGTGTCCAGAAGCACCGTCAACTTCTCTGGGCTTGGAGGCATCTGGGATAGACCATCACACAGTGGAAATGTCACTGCTGACTGGTCAATGCTTGACAATTTTATATTGGCCTGGGGGATTGGGTATATGTAGATTGCTAGGTGACCAACCGTTTTCTTAAAGGATGACAAGTTGATAAAACATTGCTGCAACTCTGCAAGTTTTATTTCTGAAGAAAATTAAAAAACACTGCAGTGTTTGTCTGAGATATCAAAATGTGTACATTCCATAAAAAATATGAAGCTGATCGGTCAGTTCTTGTCACGTGACTTGCCGTGTACACGCGGCATTCTGAAGATGTTTTTACACTGGGTGTGCCAGAAAGATGCGAGCGTATCGCGCCGCTTGCACGTGTTACTCCTAATATGTGCGTACAAGCCTTGCACCTCCATTAGAAAGAATAAACTTGCATACAAAAAAGACACAATATTTGAACGGCTGCTGTCATTTCTGATCTCCTTCTAGTCGATCTTCTTGCACAGACATGCTGGATTGACCTGATTTATAGACAAATGGGTTGTGGATCCATACCTTTGGCAGTTCGTGGGTCCTTCACTGGGCCTTTTCCCCCAGGTGCACTCTTATGGTCTGGTGCAGCCTTCATGTGGGCGCATAACCCTCGCCGTGGTCAACACTGATGCACACCTCGGAAAAAATGTAACTACACCTCACAACAACACGTAGCACAAGCACTGTGATTGGCCGGTTTGGTAACCCTTACGAGTGTAGGTGGGACCAAGAGCTGCGCGAACCCGTTGTAGCGAGTGTTTACAAGTGTTGAGTCCCGTGAAGGAGCTCCAGATGAAAAGTTTTGTTTTGTGTTTGAGCCACTTGAACGTTAAGGTAGCGTTCAGAAAAAACAACACCAGCGAAGAAACTCAACACAGAGGAACATAAAAACCTTCTGCCAGCTAGCATTTCGAAAGTGTTACTGCAGAGCAAACAGAACACAGAAGTATAAATGCACTCAAGGGCTTTTTTTTTCTTTTGGGTGCATTTAATCAAAATGTTCTGCAAATAGACAATAAATTATTTATTAAGAATATAAACAAATACTGTTTATTTAAGTTTTCTATTTAGTAAATAATCTTGAAAAGCTATCACAGAAATCTTAAGAAGCACAACACTTTTAGACAGCAGTAAAGGTTTGCAGAGCAAATACGAATGTTTTCTGAAGACTTATGTTAAAATAAATTAAAATGGTCATTTAAAAATGGAATAATATTTTACAATATTACTTTTTTACTGCAGGTTTTTGCAGAGGAGTTCAAAAAATCTTTGACGTATCCCAAACTTTTGTTTGGTACAATAAAGTGTTCTCACAAACAGCTTATGCTTGTTATATTACGACCATCTCTGAAGTGTTCTTAAAAACTGTCACTAATTTCACACTTTTCCCCTCCCATTTTCCTTCTGCCCGCCTCTACATTCAACATCTTTCCCCCTCTCTGCTTCTTTTGCTGGAAGGACTTTTGTCCAGAGAAGAGATAACAAGATTGACTGACTGATCATGATATTCTTCCCTTTACTTAAAGTACACAGAAAGAGACCTGTACGTTTCTAGACTATTATGAAGGTTAGAAACACTGTGTGCGCACTTCTTCTTGAGCATGAGGATGTAACATGGAAGAAAATCCCCGAGTTTTTTTGGAATCTTGAAGAGGAACAGCTGAAAGTGAGTCTTGACATTTCTTTTGCATGCATTTGTGCTTGTTTTCTTATTTATTTATTCTTATATATAGATAAATCTGTTGTGTATTGTAATAAATGTCAAATATATTTTAATAGTATGTATAATTTTAATGTATTTGGAATGCTAGTTTTGATTTTTAAGACATTCAAAGATTCAGTAAGATGGCTTACTTCAAAAGTGTTTTGGTTGCAAATGAGACTGATCTGAACTTTTGAAAATATGACTAAACTTCAGGTGTGTGTGTGTGTGTGTCAGAAGAGCGGTTGTTATCAACAATGATTTCTCTGGAGGCATTAGCTTTGTGTGTTTGCCCTTTGGGAAGACAGTTGTGTGTCACTCTGTGTTCTGTTTCTTTAATGATGAGCCAATTACCCAAAACACTGTTCACATTCATCCATCCGTCCATCTGTTCATTAAACCATCTCCGCTTTACTCTCCAAAGCAGCTTCCTCGTTTTGTTGAGATAACCTCTCAGTGTGGTTTTTGGAGAGTGGTTATTAAATCTCTCTCTATCTTATGGTAAGCTAAGGTGATTGTCATAGTGACCACAGTCCCAGGTGAGGAGTGTTTGCTGGAAACTCCCCTGACCTGCTGTCCCTCTGCACTGCTCTAACCTGTGCTCCTGAGAAGTTTCAAGGACCATATTGTACTGAAAATGATTCCACTCCTTGAAGCTGATTGGTGAGTTGCCGTGTTTTGTTTTTGATAAAGCATGGCTTAAAACTCTTCACCGAAACTATCTGTGTAATGATGTGCAAGTAACACAATCAATGCTTTGTCAATTATGTTTACATTTAATCTTTTAGCAAACACTTTAATGCAAAGCGACTTACAAATGAGGACAACAAAAGAGCAATCATGTTCTGTGTCTAATTAGTCCAACACAGTACACAAAAGTGTTCGTTTTAGAAGGTTTTGACAAAAAATCTGTTTAGGTTGAGTTCGACAAATCATTCACCAGCAGAAACAGAGAAGGTAAAAGTTTCTAAAAGTGATTTTGTGCCTCTTTGGAATGGTCCCACGATTCACCATTCATGTTCAGTGTGGGCTTCTGGAGGGTACACAAGTATGAGGTATTGAGAAGCAGAGTGCATGTTCTAGAATTTTACTTATCGAATTTTATGCAAGCAGCTGTTGAAACCAATGCCAATAGCAATTCATTTAAAGAGCACCTATTATGTGTTTTAAAAAGTCATATTTTGGTTTTGGGGGTCTTATTTTACCTAATTATCCCAACAACCCCCATATGATTTGTTCAGCGATTCATTTGTTCCCAAACCCCTCCTCAGCGCAATGCTAATCTGCGCTAAATTGGTCCGATGACCCAGTCTGTTGCAATTGGTCAACTGCATTCAGCGCTAGACCGAGAGAATCGCCTACCACGGCTCATCAACATTGTTGAAGTAGTCCGAGTGTGTGTGAGCCCAAGGCAGGAGTGCATTAAAGCAGTGCAGTTTAACCATAAGTAAAACAGTGACAAACATTCAGTATTAATCCACACAGTGGCAAAAGCTGACCTATTTTTAACTTGACCGCAGCACGTGTGTAGGAAGAGCTGATGGTGGCCATAGCGATCATAATCGTGAGCTCACAAATGCATTTAAATCCATAAACAAAGCAGCACGTTTTCACATGCATTTTGGAGAATTTCTGATTTATGAGAATATAGAGTTAACCAGATACAGTACAAGCTGCATGTAGCGGTTACAAGTAACAAAACACAATTAAATACATATTCTGTAAGCTAGAGAGAACAAGGAGGCATATTAATCTAACTTACACATGTGAAATGAAGGAACAAACTGGTCCATAGACTGTGCACTGTAAAGTCCCTGTCAAGCTTTGACAAATTCCCGTACATCAATAGTCTTTTCTGATCCTTCCTTTAACAAACGGCTAATGAATGCAGGGTAGATTATTGCAATAATCACCAGAACGTTCATTTATTAGTGCTATTAGTGCACTCATTTTAAGTCATGATCAGTCCCACACACCTACTCTCTGCTAGTGTTTTAAGGAAAAGGCACGTTCATGTTTTACCGGATCCTGCACAGAAATTTGTTATTGTTTTGTGTCGATGTTGAAACAATTAGGTAAAAGATCCAGACGAACAACGAATCATTTAAATGACTCTGAGTCAAATATTTTATTAAATAATCTATATTTTTAAACAAGATGCACTTTCAGATTTAAACCTCAGCTGGATGTTTTCATTCACTTAAAGCAGTGTT